ACTACTACTACCACTACTACTACTACTACTACTACTACTACTACTACTACTGCCGCTACTGCTACTGCTACTACTACCACCACCACCACCACGACGACTACTACTACTACTACTACTACTACTACTACCACCACCACTCACGCTACCGACGAATTGCTTGTCATCGCTGAGGCCCAGTGGTTTCAGCGCGGAACCGGCCCTCAAATTGTAGTCGTGGGTGTGCTGGCATGAGCTTTCTAAGTGCAAATCTTTCTTGAACTAGATGTAGCATGGCTGCAAGCCGATCTTCCACGTGCTTTGCACACCCATTGAGGACAATCTGTCTTGTGCCTCGGCCATGGAGTGCAGGGTGCGCGTCGTGCAGCTGTCTGGGAAGCTGCTCGGTGAAGTCGAGCTGCCGGAGACGGCAAGCGTCTCCGACATCTTGGCTGCGATCCAGCACGATGGGACGCTGGACCCCACGCTGAAGAGAACCCTTGTCTTGGAAGGCAGGGCCTTAGAGGAGTCAGAACTCCTCAGAGACCTGGATCTGCAGAGACAGTCCTCACCAACAGAGATGCAAGAAATCTTGCAGCCGCAGCGGTTATTGCGAATGCCGCCGTCGTCTCTTCCAAGTCGACGGATACACATCGGTGTTCTCGGAAAGCAGGGTGTGGGCAAGACCAGTTTGGTTTGCAGGTACACGAACACGGACCCGTTTGCCACAGTAGCGAGACGGATCGACTTCGCAGTTGCTCATGCGATGGCCGCTGGGATGCCAGTAAAGATCATCTTGTGGGATCGAGCTGGACCCAGAAGCTCCCGTTTCGAGGTGCCCGACCAATTCCGGGGGAAGCACGCCTTGCTTCTTGTTTACAAGCCCAGCGCCTATATTCTTTCCCTTTTTCGAAAACCCTGATGTGTTGATACCTTCATGGATAAGAAGGCTTTTCGTGGTGGATCTCACTGACCCGAAGTCTCTGGAGGCGCTTGCGCCTTTGTTGGCTCTTCCCCAGACCCAAGCCGTCGGCACAAAGTTGCTGCCCCTGGGCTGTTCTTCGTTCTAGTTGGCTGCATACAGAAGTCCAGAAACGCTAGTTGTACTGGAAGCCTCCAGCCTACCCAGGATCGGGACCAAAGCAGATTTGACCGTCCACCGGAGGATCCAGCGACAGGAGGCAGAGTGCTATGCGGAAGCAGAGGGCCTGACATACTTTGAGACCTCGGCGCACGATGATGTGGGAATCTCTGCGGCCGTAGACTACGCCGTTTACCACATCCTTTCTAGAAATCCGGCTTGGAAATGCTCGGCTCCTCCTCCGCCACCTCCCCCACGGTGCCACGTGCAGTAACGCATCGTACTTCGGTCTTTGCGGCTGGAGCACTCCGTGCCTTAGCATTGGCGAGCTGCCCCTGGCGCAAAAAAATCCAGAAGGGCCGATTATGGATTGGGGGTGGCAGAGCTTGATTTGCAGATCTTGGGACGCAGGGATTTGTGTTTAGGTTCTGGGGTTCTGGGGTCCAGTACAACAGACCCTCAAGCGAGCACAGCGTGGTAGGCAAGACAATGCTCGTGACCCTGATGTACGATCTGTCAACTCAGGAGCAGCAAAAACAAGTCTCTCAAAGCGAGACATCCAAACATAGAGCCTGCGTCGTCAGACTATAGTCATGCAACTCTAGTCTCTTAGTGCGACAAGCAGAGAGCCTGCTCGCTAAGGTGGTGGGAATGAAAGCCTTGTGCGACTGCCTCGAGGACTCGCAGAGTGACGGCACAGAGTTTCGCTTCGGACTTTGGGGATTTGGGGCATAAACAGTCTGGTTAGAGTAAGGAGGCGAAGTTCTTTCCGTGACATCAGAATTCTCGTCCACTTCGGGCACCAAGGCGGCTTGCATCTCAATTTCGCAGCGCTTATGTAGGCAAGGCCCTTGAAAAGTGGCCCTGAAGCACTAAACCGCTCCGCAAATCCTGCAAATCACCTGAAAATCTCGCCGTCTAAATCCTACTTCGCAACTTCGCAACCATCAGTTCGAACCCGTCAACCCCGATTCGTAGGTTCGGGAGCATCTAATTCCCAAAGCCCCCTGCTCCAAAGTCCAAGCCCCGAAGGACAGGGCCGGTGTCCTCACCTGCGGTGGCGAGGAGGATGCGGGGAAGGATCGGGAGGCGACTCGGTGCAAGCTCATGAACCCTGCATATAAACCCTGAACCCTTAAAGATCTCTAAAGAGCAGAGTCCGAGTTGCGAGAGCGTACAGATCCCTAAAGCCTAAGGCCTCTGATGGTTTCGAGTCTGGGTGCGAAGAAACGCGGACCCTGACGTTGCAATACAAGTTGATTAAGGCTGCAGAAAGCAACGGGATCTGTCTCGTTGCGGTGCCCAGTTCGAGCGTTGTGTGTGTGTGTGTATAGCAACACGTGTCATGTTGGACTACGTAGTGCTTGAACAGCTCTATGACTACTAAAGATGTTCTTTCACAGCTACCCGCCCTCAACCTTGAACCAAAAGCGTTGACCAAGCAGTCAAGCGCTTTGCCCGATCATTTTGGCTCTCCGTTGGCTCTACTGTTTCCGGTTTGCCCTTGGCCCAGGACGTGATGAAAACCTTCCTCCCAGAGCTGGAGCCACCTGCAAAGGAGGTGGTTGCTGTGGTTTGTGGGGCCGACTTCGTTGCTCGGCTGTTTTTTGTTTGAGCCTTTGAGGGTTGAGGCTCAGAAGATGAAGAGCGAAGGAGGGTTCACTGCCTCTCCTCACCCGCTGATGACCAACGACTGCAGCCGCAGTCCCAGCTCAAAAAAGTCTTTCTTGACCCAACCCTTCACGCAGTATCCCCTCGATGGGGCTGGTGCTCGTGGACTTAGTAGCATAGTATCGACAAACAGTCCAGAATGAGGGCTGGCCCTGCGGCTTTGGGGTCACACAAAACCTGGGCTCCTGTCTGGACCCTGTGGTCTCAGCATTGAGGCTTTCAACTACTACAAGTTAGCCAAGGCCCGGCCGATGAGCAGCAGAAGCCGTAAGTTTAGTGGAAGTCGTAGTCGTCGCGGTCGTTGATGCTGTTCCCGAAGGCAGTCGCATCAGAGTCCTGTCCTTGAACGACCACGGGTCGTGGTCAGAAAGTGAAACACGCATCAGCTGCCTCTGTCGTTCTAGAAACACAAGTCCCAGCAAAACATGCCCGCTCTGCAACATGGCGCTGTTAGTGAACACAAATACAAGTTTTCCGTGGAGAGCTGATGACAACCGTTGGCATCAGAATAAGCCACATTCCGAACGACCTGCAGATTTGGGAACTGCATTGACAGATTGCTCATCTGTTTCGTGACCCTTGCAATCCCTGGTCCTGTCGTCATACTCCCGTCATCCTCGCGGCAGGTGGTGGAGATGTGATGGCTGTGCTATGGATGATGGCTACACCGCGCACTGTTATTGTTCCTACTACGTTTCTCAGCGAGGCAAGCTATCGGAGTTCGTTTCGGCACAGTCCAGCATTGAGACAAATTGAGACGGAAGAGAGATCTAGCAGCTATTCCCCAAATCGACAACACAAAGAGAACTTTCAGACCTTAGCCCGCATAAAGAACGCTGGACTGTGAACGTGGGGTCTGGGAGTCTGGGCGGTCTGCCACTCCTTGTAAATGCAAAAGCAGGCCGCCAACTACCTCCGTCAGAATCCTGGCGCTTTGTGCCTTGGGCTGCAGCAGGGTATAGGGTTCTTACGCGTGCTGAGGCTGAGAGTTTGGATGGGACAGGACACAACAAACGGCACTACCGATGGTTCGGAGGGCGGGAGTGTGGCAGGGGGAGTGGAGAATGATGAGGCGGCGGAGGAGGAGTAGGAGGAGTAGGAGAAGGAGGACATCATGAGTGCTTTCTTTTTTCTTCTTCTTGCCATGGGGTTCAAGTTTGGCTATTACCGTAGTCCGTTTTTCAGTCTTAGTATTGGTGTTTGTGCCGATCGAGTTTGTTGGGCGGGCCCGTATAAATCGCCACTGGGAAGCTGAATATCCCGTGGGCTCAAGACACAGTAGTATCTGTAGGCATGCATTTGATGGGTGAGGCGTAAGTTTCAGATGGTGCTTATGAGGTTGCTGTAGCAGCATTGATGACCAGTTTTGAAACACTCGCCCAGACCTTGATGCAAACGGTCAACAGTGCTTCCGCGCTCAAGTTTCGATTCTTAACGCTTATAACCCTTAGCTTAAGCTTGCTCGTATGACTTGATCGACATGTCGAGGGATGAAGGACCGACGCCCAAAACCAATGTGGAGAGAATGCTAAACCCGACTGTCAACCCGCCGGAAAGTAGCTTCAACCAGACCTGTCTTCGAATGCTGAGACTGCTACCGGGAGAGTGGGTTTGGGGCTCCGCACCGTTACATGGCTTTTAGTAGCCCGAAAGAGCTTGAAGGTTTGTCGCCACAAATCCGGACCCTCGGGCGTTGATGGCGCCAGGGACCTTCTTCCCAGCCGCAGGCCTGGTCGAAGGCTCATTGCAGGCTTTCGGAATATAAGTACCCTAATTTGGGCTATAGTTATTGCTACCTTATTTATTTGGCATGCTCAGAGCTTCAAAAGGTTCTCCCGTCCACAGTGTGGGGCTCAGGCCTTGGGCTTTAGGGTTACACATCCCTACTACAGCAGACCCCGAGATGCAGGCCCGTGGGTCTACCGGTCTACCGAAAATGGAACATGGAGGAGAAAAATCTAGACACTCTGGTAATGTACTGCCGAGTTGCGAGTTAAGTCTATCATTTAAGCGCTTTTCACTTTTTCTCTCACGCTTCCTTGCAGGGTCCATGTGGAGCGCGATTGCGGTGCCCTGGACGCATGCGGCCATTCCGATGGATGAGTGCTGATTCTCATTGACCTCGCGACACGAGGTTTTGGGGTTAGGGACGGTCTTTAGGAGTTGAGGAATTTTCGGGCCTGAGCCGTGTACCTGAAACCATGGTTTGGGTCTCAGAGGGCCTGGTTTACATGGATGGAATCATGATGCCAAGTCTCATATCCAGGCATGCACCAAGCTCCTGCTTCAAGAAGGTTTACAGTTACAGTTTACACAAGTTTAGGCAGTTTAGGATGCAGGTGGCATCCCGAGCTCTCGAACTTATGCCGGATATTGGCTCTGTTGCGTCACCGTCGAATCCCTATAAGACGCCTAAGCGACCTAAATTGATGCTTAGACTTAAGGCTCAAGAAGCATTGGGACAAGACCCCAAGCTGTGCCTCAGGTGGCCGCGGGGCGTCAACCGGACATCGTCGGGGCCTTTTCTCTTGCAAGCGCAAATTGACGAGCATGATGGTTCACATACAAGTAGGAGGAGGATTCATGACTCCAGCCACCCTCGGCGCCACAGCGACATCGGCAGCAGCATCAAGGCTAGCATCCGCTGCTGCAGCATCACCACCCTTCGTGCATCTTTCTCAGGTCTGTGGCAAGCCTAGCGCTGCTTGGTTGGACGTGAAGGGCGGTAAGTTGGAACGTTGCAGTTGTGATGAGTAGGATATGATATTTGGATTGGGGCGTGCCGTGGCCTCATGCCGGATGGCTTTTCGCACCTACATTTGTGTGCTTGCCTGTTGCTTCACACGAAAGCCGAAGCCAACCCAACATATTTAGCAAGATGACGTGCTGAATACCTGGACCGGACATGGGCGTGCCCACCTGGCTGGTCGTGTTTGTAAGGACCAGATATAGTTGCTATAGTTCTTGCAGAAAAGGCCGCAGCTTCGGCGTCCCGCTAGCCACGTCTCAGCTGCAGTGTTCTCAGGAAACTCTGGCCCGATATCTTCTATCCTCCAAAGGGCTGTCGCCCGACACCACTTGCAGCTCGAAGTACAGTTCGTCTCTTCTTTTTGGGGTTTAAGGCTTGCAGGAGGGTGGCGGGCTCCAAGCCGGTCTTGTGTCTTGTGGTGGATCACCTCGCAGCAGGTTGTATGCTGGTTGTGGCTTTTGAGTCTGAGTGGCACCGAGACTGCGTGGGCCTGGGCCAACGCTACCTTGATTATTGAAGCTGTGCCCAGCGCCTGTTGCACAAAGACCGTTCCTGCATCATTTTTGGCCCTTTTCACCTGATTTGTCAGTGGCGAGAATCCGAACCGCCGGCCTCAGGCATGGTCGGTGATCGCACCGACACGGACATTGCCTTTGGCCGGAGCGTGGGAATGCAGACCCTCTTCGTTGCAAGTGGGAGCATGACGGAGCAGGCAGGGTGGAGGGGCTGACTACTGCGCCAGATGGTGTCATGTAGCATGTTTATAATCTTGTTGCAGAAGGTTGTTCAGGTTTGACGAATGGGTCGAAATTTGCTGACCCCCACCTAACCCCTAATTGCAGCAGCGAACTCAACAGCTCCGTTTCTTTCATGCATGTGACCCTAACCTGACACAATCTGCACATGGACGTGATGTGGATGCTCTGACCCTGAGGAAGTCATGCAAGCGAATAGCATCCAGTCTGCAGCCACGCTGAGCATCGGATATCGGTTGCTCTTGGAAAAGCGCTGTCTGTAGACATGCGGCCATCACGTTCTCATTAGTTGGTCATTGGTGAAGATATAATCAGATAGGAAGTGGCCACAGAACTAGATAAGACATGCAGGCTCACGGGCATGACCTACGCGGATGCCGCGAGCAAACAGTAGTCTAAATGCGTTTAAAGCTTATTGCATGCTCAGACACGTCTGCGTGGACGCGGTGTGGCAAAATCATGCAGGCATGCAGGCATGGATGGATGGATGGATGGATGATTGCATGTGCGTACTTATGTATGTGTGTATGTATGTGTGTATGTTGTGTGGGTGCATATACATCAGTACAAGCTCCAAAAGTCGTGCAACCCAGGCGCAGATCAGCCGCACTATGTGGCCGATTCCATCGCTGTTCTCGGTCAGCTTCTGAAGCCTTAAAAGTAGGCTCTCGCATGGCTCGCATGTACTTGGAGAGATCATGGGTATCTCCGGGGCTACGGGTCTCCAGGATCCCTGAAACCTTCAAGTGCACACTGCAAGAGCGGATGGCACCCAAATCTACGCTGTCGGAGGCCTTTCGGGTCGTTACATACGTTGCTTGTTGGTGACCAGCTTCAGGTTCAGTTATAGGCGTATCGCCGACGATCGATTTGCCAAAGCGCTGCCAGGAAGAAATGATGCCAACGCGAAGCTAACGCCATGTCAGTTCAGAGCTGTTGTTGCGCGGATTGTGGGATCTTGCTCGAGGGTTCTAATGTAAACTTAGTTTGGGCCTGAGTGCACGACAGCAGCTGCCGTGTCGTCGTAGGTTGGTATGAACAACTGATGATCCCATTGCCGGCTGCACATCCTTTAGCAGATGGAAGCAGTCAGCTAATGTCTGGAGCAGCAGACATTTGGATGATGGGATTTGGCTTCGAGCAACCATTGCGACGGGAATGCATCTCGATGGTTGATATTTCGAGCTTTTCGAGGAAGGCCCACCAAGCACCGGGCCTATTTTTGTTGCTGCTTGCTGGTATGATAGCATGTCTCTTTCAGCGTAGCTGGAGTGTCGGTTCATTTTGATGACAACTTGCTACGAGAACTTTTGACGAACCACGCTTTTTTCTTATTTCGTATAAGTTATTGCAAACATTGATTCAGACCCTCGTCTCATAGCACCCTGCGAAGAGGAGATCAAAGACGGCCAGGGCTATGGCTGGTCTTTGCCAGAGGGCCGGCATGCCTGCTTAAATGTCGGGGTGCATGTAGACTTGACGCCGTGGTGACTGGATAGTTTGAGTCCGGATGCTGGGGGTTGCACTATCCTCGTCACCACTCTTCTCTCAGATCTCTCAGCCGTTGCTCCGATTTGCGCTCTTGGGTTGTTTTAGGTTCGAGAGACCATAGGATCAGGACCTGGGACCTGGACTTTAGGGCTTGGGGTATTGCTCCTTGCCAGGCGTGTCGCCCGACTTAGACTGGGACAAGCTTATCGAAGCCAAGAACGCAGAGGCCTCTAGATAGCCGTGAGTATAGCAGAGTATAGTATAATGTCGTGCACTATCGCCTGAAGAGATGGCAGAAACATCGAGCATAGCTTATATTCCTTCAACCACCAGTCTATAGCGCATTCCGGGAATCTCACGATCCCTGCAGGTCACACGCAGGGAGCCCTGGCACGGGGTGAGCAGTGCAGCGAGTCAAGCAGTGTGAAGACGTGTTCAGGTCTGCAAACTGACATGATGCGTAGGTCAAGTTGTATAAAGATGGCACATAAATACAGATACAACTGCTGCGTACAAGTATGTGTTCCTTGCAGGCATTTCTTGTATACATGGAAGCGCGCCCAGAGACACACACACACACACGCACACACAAACAAGCACACCACACACACAGACAAACAAACGCACGCCACCCACCACCACACAGACACACAGACACACACACACACACAGACACACAGACACACAGACACACAGACACACAGACCGACAGACAGACACACACACACACACACACACCCGCGCCCTCGCTCGCTCGCTCGCACGTACGCATGTATGGGTGCTTGATCTGCTGTTGGTAGCTCGGTAGTTTGCAGGCCACCCCTGGCATATCCTCGTATACTTCTGTCTTCCACCTTACAGCCACATCGTCACTGCTGAGGTTTGAATAGCATCTACACCAAGCTTCTCGCCGATGCCTCGGGTTATCTGAGTGGCAAGAACCTGCCTACTTACTCCCCGTCCCATGGCCCCCACCCTCCCATCGGCTGAACAGGAAAGTCAGCATAATCTGCCTTGAATGTGTCACATATCGTTGAAGAAGTATACACAGTTCGAACAGATAAATGTCCCAGATTGAGGGCTTCAGAGTGAAGCGAGCTTCGCCCATCCCTCTTCTTAAGTCCGCGCGGGTTCAGGATTCCGAGCACTTCAAGCCTTGTTTGTATATACTCTCTGAGGACGGAGCAGGCGTAAAGCACTTCGAGGGCTATGCTCGCATTGTGGATCCCCACACAGTCGAGGCGCCGCGGGAAGGGAGACCCACTGCCAGCACTTCCATGACCAGCCGTGAACAGAGCATCCGGCCCGTGCCGAGGTGTAGAAGAAAACTAAGCAACAATGGTAATGCAGCTAGAGTGCTGAAAGAAAACGTTGTCGTCGTTGTGTTAGCCGTGTCAGCAGCAACAACAATGGCGCCGCCAGCAGTTTGCAGAAGGCCAGATTCATCACAACTGGCTTTCGTAGTTGCTGGAGCTCGCATGTGTCGACGCGTATTGCGCTGCATGCAAGTGATAGTTGATTTGGAGCCAGATTCTACTGCGTTTACATGCTCGGCCGATATTTTTTTACCCTATACAGGTATTAGTGCCAGTATTGCATATTTAAGGCTCTGCTTATCGTGCATCTGATAAATGTCCGTGTTGTTCTTCTCGCTGGCCTCATAAGCCCAATTGCCCTTAGTTTCAGCTTGTTTCTCTGGAGGTCAATGGCGAAAAGCACACGGCCAAGTACATTTGCGTTGCCACGGGTGGTCGAGCGCAGCGGCTGTCGGGGCCCGTGCCGTTATTGTTACTTATATAGGTTATAGATCATGTCTAGACTCAGCATCACATGTATTGCGTTGATAATACCACCGTATATTGCGGAAGATCACAATCCAGTGGGGTTCGGAGTGATGGAATTCGTAAGAGTCTAAAGTAAAGACAACTCGTAATCGCGCCTTGCTTCGCGGCGCAGAGTTGGGATACCCTCACTGCCAGTCGAAGCCCGACGCTGCACTGCCGCTGCTGAGTTCGTGATTCAAGACGCGCATCCTTTCTTTTTTTACGATTTCTTCAAGGCCCATTCCGGGCAGTGACCTTGATGGTGTCGGCATCTTATCAACCACCACTTGCTGGCTGTGGCTGTTGAGGCTTGAAAGTTCGGTGCCCGACTCTTCTTGGCAAGGGCCTTCAGGGGCTTGAGGGTTCCAGCGAGTAGAAGGCGAATGAGGGCCTAGATGCGGGCACAGACCATCAGCGCGGGAACCCTGCAGCCACAGCCTCTTTCTCAGATCTGGTTTCCCTGAGACTTCCTTCGTTCAGACCTCGATAACCCTTGCAAGGCCAGGCACATGAGCAGGGATGGAACACAGATACCCTAAAATGCCCTGATCCGCCAGACTACATACTTTTAGGGCATGAACTGTAGGAACTGAGGACAGGAAAAGCATGATTTTAGGGTGGTCGTTGCTTTCTCTAAAGCTGGTCTTAGGGTTCCAGTCCAGTGCTCCTTGGCTCTTTTTGATTTCTCCACCGGCCGAAAAAAGAAAAATGCCGGGTTTTTCCGTGAGAAACCATTTGGCCTCATCCTGCATGAATGCCGTTGAAAAGGTAAGGAAGAAGAAGGTATCTTTCTAGCCATTTGGGCGGTGAAGACGATGTCCCATAAAGTCTTGCCACACGCTCACATGCACACACTCTCTCTCTCCGTCTGTCTCTCGTGGGACGTGGTGCCACGCGATTTGCTTCGGCCATGTGAGGTCCTCACCAGCGATGAGGCTTTGGCTTTGCCCAAAAAGCAGGGAACTTTGCATCGGCATTCTCAGAGTTTGCCAAGCTTGGTAGGCTTAGCACATAAGTGCCGGAATCTCATGCTCCAAGCATGTGCTTAGCGCAGGATTCTGAGGTTTGGGGTGCTGTTGGTGTGAGGTAATGTTTTCATGAACTACGAACCGATCATGCCCCTACTCTCGCGTGCTTTGCTATGACCTTCGAACCTTTGGAGCCTCGTCTGGGTCATGCGAGAGTTGAGACCCCACACTCGAACTCCCGAGCAGGCTGACGAGTTCGTCCGTCACTTGCTGAAGGAGTTCAAAATAGTTAGGTTGGTTTCAGCTGTCGTTCTCTATCTCCGTATACAGTATATAGCTAGCAGCTCCAAGAACAATGCCTACAATGTTCGCATCCCGGATGTTTGATCTAATGCAGGAAGTCTAGATACATGAAGTTGTTGTAGCCCGTAGCCGAGTTGTTGAGCGATATTGAATGCCTCCATACATAAAGACACCTGTACAGAAGATCTTACCTGAAGTAGTATGTGTATCATATATATACACATATTTTATACGTATACACATCTGTACCTGTATACACGCATATACACACAAACACACAAATATATATATATATAT